TTGTTGAAGGCACACACTCTCTGGCAAAAAAAGATAATAATAATAATAATAATAATATTTAGTATTTTAGCAATGTGTCTTGCTAAATATAAGAGCAATACACAGAAATCCGTTGTATTTATATATTCTATTAATAAACAGTTGGTGGGACCAGCAGTTGGCGTGGTGGTTAAGGCACTGGAATCCCATATGGCTAACTGTGGCTTGAGTTCCAGACCTGGTGGCTTGCTTTCTCACTTTCCCTTTTTCTCTCTGGCCAAATTAAAAAACAATAATGACAACATGGGACCAGCAGTTGGGGTAATGGCTATGTCACTGGACTCCCATGTAGCTGACCACGGTTCGAGTCCTGGACCCCAGTGGCTTAAAGTCACGCCGGGCACATACGTGCCCAAGCTCCCAAGAGGAGAATGGAGGAGAAGGGATTGCAGAGTAGCCATCCCCCTGGGGATGATTTTTCGCTTTCTCTCTCTCAGTTTCTCTTGTCTTTCTGGCCAGCGCATGTGCCCTATAGCAAAAACCTCTCCAAAATAATAATGACAACAAATAAAATGAAATCTTAGAAATTTGGGAAATGAATTTTAAAATACCACTCACAGTAGCCTACAAACCTCTCAAATATTTGGAATGATTTTGGCAAATTATGCAGGCGCTTGGGCCGAAAACCACAAACTCCTGTGGTCTTCACCTTGAACTCCGCGCTCTGGGAGGCCTTGTAACCCCTCAGAATAGTGGCCCTCGTCGGAGGACCTCCTGTCCAAGGCGGTGTTTCTCAACCCCACTGCTCCCCAGAATCTTCTGGCGCTCTTAAAAGCTGCTCCGGGTCACCCCAGGCCTGGTGACAGCATTCCCTGGGTGAAGCAGGTGGCAGGTCTCGCTTAAAAAAGCGTGCCCTGCACGCCCCCCAGGCGAGGGCGGGGTTCGCAAGGGGCTCCGGGAGCACGTCCTGACCCTCTGTTCCCCCGCAGTGTACCACTGGGTGGAGATGCGGACCAAGATGCGCATCATGGGCTTCCGGGGCACCGTCATCAAGCCGCTGAACGAGGAGGCGGCCGCGGAGCTGGGCGCCGAGCTGCTGGGCGAAGCCACCATCTTCATCGTGGGAGGCGGCTGTCTGGTGCTGGAATACTGGCGCCACCAGGCGCAGCAGCGCCACAAGGAGGAGGAGCAGCGCGCCGCCTGGAACGCGCTGCGGGACGAGGTGGGCCACCTGGCGCTGGCGCTGGAGGCGCTGCAAGTGCAGGTGCAGGGGGCGCCGCCGGAGGGCGCCCTGGAGGAGCTGCGCGCGCAGCTGCAGGAGGTGCGCACCCTGGTCCGCGGCCAGAGCGCGCCGCCGGCGTCCCCGGCCGCCTCCACGTCCCAGGCAGTGTCAGCGTCCAAGAAATAGGCTACCAAAGCCTGAACCGGGACCGGGCCGTGTGCGCCCCGACGTGGCCTTCTCCCTGCACCCTCCTGCCAGTGCAGGCCCGGTGGAAACCACCCGGATCTTGGTGCAACCCGGCATTCGATACCCCTACGGATGAAACCAGTGGAACCTGCCTCTGGGACCTGCCGCAGGTGGAGCGTTCTGTCACAGCCCCCTCTACCTCTAGCTCGACGGCCCGGTCCACAGTGCTCACGCCCCGCTCAGACCGAGGTCCTGGCCAGCAGGGCATGGCACACACCGCTCTGGCCTGCTGGGAGCTGGACTTGAGGCCAGTCGACTTGTCGTGGTACCCACCCATTTACCTGATTAGTGTTACCTTCCTGGGCCACCCCATCCATTGCGGGCCACCCCCTGCCTTTTACCACTGTAAGGCGGGGCCCCAGGGTCCCAGTGGCTCTCCGTCCCTGCCTTTCCAGCTCTAGCAGGGTGGCACCTTTCTCGTTGAGGGGGAAGAAAGGCTCCTGGCCTGTAAGCAGCCAATGGAATTAGTGTGTCTTTCCCCTCGCCTGCTCCAGGTTCCTTCCTGAGGTCCTGGGTGAACTGTTCCGGCCAAACCTCGTCATCCCTCAGCCTAGCACAACCTCCCGACCCCGCCCGGCTGTGCGGTCTCTGGCAGTGCTCCCCAGACCCCCTGCCCCGGGTGGGAAAGTTGAACCTCCTGGGCTAGTGCAGCCCGCCTTTCAGCGTCAGCCCCGGGCTCTCCTGCCCCCAGAGCCCCTGGGCCTTGTACTGTGTGGCTGTCCTTTCCCGCCTCTCCCGCACTCCTCAGTGGCGTTTCTCAGAGGCCTGCTGGGTCAGGACTAGATCGCCCCTCCCTCACCTTCCATCCAGCCCTGCAGAGCTGAGCGGGCTCTGCCTGCCCTTGTGGGACTGTCCCACACCCTCCTTCGCAGCAGCGCCTCCAGTCTCCCAGCCCCAAGTTCCCCTCCTTCCATTGGCACCAGCTGGGCTTTCCTCCTCTGCTCGTTTTCTGGGGTGGCAGTGACAACTTCTGCCCACCTGACGACCCTGCCCCTGCACGTCCTGCCCCGGTGCAGCTCGCTCACCGTTAGACATCATGCTCCTTCCCGCGGCCAGTCCTGGTGGGCTGCAGTCGTGTCCGTCCCCCCCCACTACCCCGCTGTGGGGCTGGGGCTCTGCCGCCAGCCTGTGCCCCGTGTTTCAGACGCTGCTTCCTAACAGGAGCCCTGGGAAGGAAGGGGTGCAGGCTCGGGACAGAGCTTGTTAAGATTAGAGAAGCTGGGGAGGGTCTGGAGAAGGAGGCTAAGTCAGGCCCCCGAGCTCTTCCCCAAGTGGGTGAACTCAGGCCTTGGGAGGCAGGGCTGCTTAGTGGTGTGGGGCTGGCGCCAAGTGGTGAGGGGTAGGGCAGAGGGTGGGGCCCTGAGTGGGCAGGCAGGGCTCACTTGCAGGCCCCAGGCATCCTCTCCCATCCCAGAGGCAAGGCGAGGCCCTGCTGAGCTCAGAGCAGCCCCAGGTCGCGGAGATCCTAGTGTAGTAACCCCATTGCCCTGAAGCTACAGGCGAGGGCCAGCTTTTACCCCTCACCTCACTGCCCCTGGGGATAAAAGTGACCTCGGCACAGACTCCCCCCACCCCTGCCCATAGGAAACCCAGAGATGGGTTCCGAAACAGCTTAATTCCTTCTAGAAGAGGAAAGCAGCTGATAGAGGGGACCGAGGAGGTATGGCCCTGATGGAGGTGTCTTTAAAATGGGGGTGACCTCAGTGGGTTAAATGGGCAAAGGCAAGGGCCAGATGCCCCAGTGGGGGACAGAAGCAGGGGAGTGGGCTCAGTTCCTGGTTTCCATGGTCACCCTCCGAGGCTTGTGTCCGGCTCCCCACCAGCTCCACTGACACCTCTGGAGGCCGGAGGCTGTGACCACCCGCCATGGTGTCAGTAAATGGTAAACAGCCTTCCCACCACAGATAGGTTCCTGGAGCTCCGGGAGGTGCCGCACTGTTTTAAGTGCTTTCAAGTCCCCCACGTTGTTTTCTCCATTTCATTGATGAGGCAGGCACGGAGAGGGACAGTCACCTGCTTGGTCACACAGGCAAGGAAGGGGCGAGGCAGTCGAGCCCCAGCCCTGGACCCCTGCACCGCGGCGACCCTGACAGACTGCTGCTTGCACACGACAGCGGGCATGGGCTTGCCCCTGTGCAGGGGTGGCGGGTGCGCAGGTGGAAAGAACCCTCTCCATATGGACAAGCCGGACAGAGGATGGTTCTTTGCTCTGGCTTCCTACTGGCTCGGATTTTGTACACTAGGGGTAGGGGTTCGAATAAATTAATAAATGAAGATGCTTGTTTTCAAGCTGGTGTGTGGTTTTTATATTTAAAAGTATCCCTGTTGGGGCCAGCAGGTGGTGGCCTGGTGGTTAAGGTGCTGGACTCCCACGCAGTTCAAATCCTGGATCTAGTGGCTTGAAACTCACACTGAATCTCTGAATCTCTGTCCCAAGAGGAGAATGGAGAAGGGATTTCAGCGTGGCCATTTCCCTAGCAGAAGATTTTTAACTTCTCACTGTCTCTTTTTGTCCAGCGAACACACCCACCCTATGGCAAAAACCGTAAAAAAAAAAATCTGTTTACCGTAGCAAAAATACTTTTTGTTTGTGTTCCCATTCAAGAAACTGTGTGCCCCACACCGTCCTACGCCGCTGCCTCCACCCTGCCCGCGGCGCCCAAATGCATGCACAGACTGTCTCACCTCCTAGTTTGGGGAAAAGGACTGGGCTGAAGGGGCAGGCCTGAATCTAAACTCCTCCCAAGTGGCTCGGATTTCAGAGCCTAGAATAGAAACCTCTTCACAGCCGCTCTGAAAACCGCACCTCTCCCGTCTCCTGGCAGACCCTGTCCCCCATGTTGGACTCTCCTTTAGCCAGGCCCTTGCTGAGAGCAGGCCAAGACAGCTGGGAGTCACCCCAGGAGAAGACAGACCTCACGTCAGCTCCAGCCACATCCGTGGGCCCACAGGGATGTCCCTGTGCCAGCCACTGTGACACTGAGTGGCCAGGCTTGGGTGCCCCAGCGCCAGTGCCATGGACAGGTGGAGAGGAGTCGGGGCCCAGAGGAGCGTGGGGTGGGCATCACCCACCTTAGACTCAGGTTTACTGAGCGCTTCCTGCTGCTTGGGTTCAGCCCAGTAGCTGGGAGTCAGCGGAGGCAGGAGGAGGCCCATCACCACCAGCTGACATTCTAGCACAGATGACAGCACTAGTGAACGCTCATCTGTTGGGTCAGGACAAAGAGGCAGAGAAAAACAAGGGAGAGGGACCAGCAGTTGGTGTAGTGGCTATGTCACTGGACTCCCATGTAGTCGGCCACGATTCGAGTCCCAGACCCGGTTGCTTAAACTCATGCTGGGCGCGTGCGCGTGCATGTCCAAGGTCTGAGAAGAGAATGGAGAAGATGTGGCCATCCCCCTGGGGGGTGATTTCTCGCTTTCTGTCTCTCTGTTGTCTCTGTCTTTCTGGCGAGGGCATGTGTCCTGTAGTAAAAACCTCTCCCAGCAAAAACAAACAAGGGTGGGAACAGCTTGAGGGTTCTGCAGGCAGCTGCCAGGGAGGGGGTTATCAGTACCTGTAAGAGCCCGTACCTGTTCCTGGAACTGAAGGGAACTTGGGCTCAGCTAGAGTCGGGATTAAGGCTCAGGCCGTGTGCCCACTCAGACCCGGTCTGTAAATTGCAACTGGCACACCGCGAGCCCGTCCTCTGCTATTCCGCGGCTGCTTTCCCCACATGGCAGCTGCGTATTCACTTCTCAGAGAAGAAAGTTACTGTCACAGCAAGCGAGGAGGGCGTGGGCGAGGGGCGAGGGGTCAGGCAAGCGAAGGCAGGCCCCTGGCCTTGATTAGCACAACCCTGGGGGTCACGGCAGCCCCGCCTCCCCCAGCACTGGGCTTCAGCGTCTTGTCCTACAGGGTCCTCCTTCCCTCGCTCCTCCCGGAGCTGTTTGAGCTTCAGCAGTAAGTAACCCCTCCTGTCCCCAGGTCTCAATCCACAGGAACCCCTCCATCCTGTCCCCGGGTCTCAGCGGTCTGTCTCAATCCACAGGAACCCCTCCGTCCCCGTCCCCGGGTCTCAGCCGTCTGTCTCAATCCACAGGAACCCCTCTATCCTCGGGTCTCAGCGGTCTCTCTCAATCCAGAACAACAGCCACAATGTGAGACAGGGTTCGGGGCTGGCCCTGTGCCCTAGGGGTTAAGGGAGTTGGGTCCCACATGAGCAATCATGCAGTTTGAGTCCCTGCCTGAGCGGCTTGAAAAAGTGTTCACGTGTGCGTGCATATCCCAAATCCCAGCAGGAGGGAGAAATGGAGAAGGGATTACGGTGTGGCCACACCCCGCAGGGGGCGCCTGCTCCTTTTCCCTCTCTGAATCTCTGTCTCCCTGGTGAGCACGCATGCCCTCTGGCAATTAAAAAACAAAAAGGATTTTTGGGACCAGCAGGTGGTGTGGTGGTTAAGGCACTGGACACTCCCACATGGCCCACCACAGTTCGAGCCCCAGACCTGGTGGCTTGTTTTCTCACATTCCCTCTCTCTCTGTGTGTCTCTCTCTGGTCAAATTTAAAAATAAATGAGTGGATAAATAAATAATTTTTTTTTAAAAGAGGATTTTTATAATCCACCATAGTCATATTGACATACCCACTCACGGGCTGGCTCCCTGGCCTGGTGGTTAAGGTGGCTGGATCCCGCATGACTCACGGCGCAGTTCGAGCAGCTGGCGCAGTGTGCGGGTACTCAAAATCCCAGAAGGAGGGAGGAAGGGAGGAGAAGGATTGCGGCGTGACCTTTCTTCATCGACGCTGCTTTCCCCTGCTCCTCTCTCTGTCTCGCTCTGGGGTGCACACACACGCTCCAACCGCAAAAAATCACTCACAATTCACCTTATGTATGTACTATAATATTGCATAATCGTATAACTCAGGTAATGTGGCATAGTGTTAACATAATGAAATAAATGTATACTTTATGTAGTAACAACATTTTATATCGTATTGTGTGTATATATATATTATTGGAATGGAAGTTTCACTAAACACCCTACAGTGAAGATATTTTCTGGTTTTTTTTTTTTTTGTATTTCATATGTGACCATGGCTTGAGACCCAGACCCGGTGGCTTGAAAACCACAACAAACGAATAGGTAAATAAATAAATGTTTTTTAAAAACCTCGTATGTATTTATAACATGGATTATATGTTATATACGACACTGTTATATGTTAATGTCATACATTCTATGTCACAGATCTTGTTAGAATAAAAATTTCCCCAAACAGTATCTGCCCTTCCCATGTACAGTGTCCTCATAACCTTCTGTTTTCTCTTATGCTGTTTCATAAAGATAAGCACAGGGGCCAGCATGGCCGGCTGTGAAGTTCAAGTCCCCGACCCGGTGGATTGAAGAACACACTGAATGCATGCACATGCATGCCCAAATTCCCAAGAGGAGGACAAAGAAGAGATTGCAGCGTGGCCATCCCCCGGGGGGTGATTTCTCGCTTTCTGTCTCTCTGTCTTTCTGGAGAATGCATGCACCCTATAGCAAAAACCTCTCCAA